CACCCCGTCGACGCGTTCCCACGGACGTGTTTACCTCCCACTCCCCCCGCCCTGCAGGACTTCCGTTTGCTTTCCCCTAGAGCCGCGAGGACCAATCGAATCGTCACGCCGTCGGATCACTTAGAGACAACGACGGGCGGGACCAGCGTTCTCCTCACCCACCCCCGTCCCGACCGCAGCCTCGCCGGTCGGTCCGCCCGCCCCCGGCCGGTCCACCCAAACCCTCCTGGAGCGGCGGAGTTAACAAGCAAAGAACTTCCACCCCCCCCCCCCCTTCCCCCCCCCCCCCCCCTTTGACCACCCTCCGCTCCGTTTTTATTCGTCCGCTCTGGTAGACAACGTCATCATCATTATCCCCCCGCTAAGTCGATTGATAAATGAGCTCGACCAGGCTCCGTCTCACTGGCGGGGCTCGGTGCACCGGCTGCTGCAGGCGGGACGAGGGAGGGTAAAGGGATAGAGTGGGTGAGACAGGGGAGAGGGAGAGAGAGAGACGAGCGCGGAATAGAAGAAAGAGGAGAGAGAGGGAGCACAGTTTATTTTCCCCGGCAGCTTTTTGACTGCCACTTTCACGTCCCAGCCCCCGTCCTGTCGACGTTCGAGGGCGGAGGGCCGAGGGCTGCTGGCCCTGCGGGTCTCGCCACTCTCATTGGGGTGTAATTAGTGGCCATCAGGGGAGAGAGGGAGGAGGGAGAGAGAAGAGAGCGAGAGAGAGAGAGAGAGAGAGGAGAGAGAGAGAGAGAGAGAAATGGGAGTGGTGAGGGGTAAAGTGGAAGGAGGAATAGGAGAGGGTGGTATGGGTGAGAAGGGAAGGGGGTTTCACCGGAGGAAAAAGAGTCCCGGTACAGGACCATGTAGGCCGGGCCGGCAGCCGTAGGCCGTAGCCGCTCGACTCACCGTAACCCTGCAGCAGCTCGACTAATTCACCATCCCTCTTATCCCTCCCCTTACCATCCATTCCCTCTAGGCTCGCCTCGGGGCCACTCTTTGCCCCGAGGAGGCGCTGCAAATGTGACTTCCATAATTGATGGTCAGAAAGGCAGGGAGGACGTCACGACCTTTCCGCAGTCTGTGCTTCGCTCGCACGCCCCCCCC